CAGTCGGTCGCCGCGGCGCACCCACGCCGGCATGGCCTTCGGAGCCCGGGGTCCCCAGGCCGCGCTGGCCCAGCCCTGCGATGCCGCCCGGAGCGGCGCGCCCCGCGCTGCAGGTGGCTCGCTTAAGGATGCGCGTCACCGACCGCAAATTCCCTCGGACTGGTGCAAAGTGGAAGGGGGGAGGAACCCTCTCCCCAGAGGCAGGGGAGCCCCGCGGCTCTGGCTGTCTTGCTGCCCCAAACTGTCGTTTGGATTCTGGAGAGTGGGGACAACAGGCAGCTGACCTCCTCGAGCGCGGAGATCTTTGAGGCCCTAAGAAAGGCGCTGATCCGTGCCACACGCCGGCGGCACCGGTCAGCAGGAGGGCGAGCAGCGGGTCTCTCCGCTCTCGGTGGCTCTTAGTTGTGGACTGTTTCTCTTTGCCGCCCCCTTCATTTCCTAGGATGCCCAGGCGCGGTTTCAGTGTCAACCAAGGCGATTGGGAGCTGAAAAAATAGCTCAAAACAAAACACACAGTACATCCCAGAGGACGTTTTGAATGATCCACCCCCTGGTTCTGCTGCTTCATTGTATATTGGGAGTTGAAAATTATTTTCTTTGCAGTAAGTTCAAGATTGGAAAGCTCTAGGCTCCAGTTCTGGTTCTTCCCATAACTACTCCTTTGACCTCCACAACCCACTTGCCCTCCGAATTCAAATCTGTTTACTCACTGTGAATGATGGGGATGGACCAAAGGATTTCTGTCTCTCCCAGTTCTAGGAATTCTAGGCTCTTAGTTATTTTAATCATTTTCTAATAAAGAATAAAAATTCATTGTTTACTTTAGGCTTTACTATCTTTTTCCTCAGATGTATTCTATAGTACAATATTTCCTCCCTTAGGGCATGTTAGAAATTTTAAAAAATGTCTACCACAGGTGCAGCCACTATGAAAAACAATATAGTGATTTCAAACATTAGAAATATAAATAGCCCAGTAATTCCATTTCTGGATATATACCCAAAAGAATCGAAAGCAAAGTCACAAAGAGATATTTGTATACCCGTGTTCACAGCAGCATAATTCACAATAGCCAAAGGACCAAGGGTCCATTCACAGATAGATAAACAACATGTTGTACATACATACCCTGGAGGATTTTCCAGCTTCAGAAAGGAGAGAAATCCTGATACATGCAACATGAGCCCTGAGGATGCTGTCCTAAGTAAAATAGCATGAAAAGACCAATACTGTGTGATTCGATTACATGAAGCATTTAGAGTAATCAGGTTGGTAGAGAGAGAAAGTGTTATGGAATCATGGTTACCAGGGGCTGGGAGGAGGCGGGAATGGAGTTGGTGTTTAATAGGTAGAGTTTCAGTTTTGCAAGAAGAGAATTCTAGAGCTGAATGGAGGCGATGCACAACATGAATATATGTAGAGTCTGTGCGTAAAGTCACAGAGCTGTATACGTGGAAATTGTTAGGATGGTAGACTTTATTATGTGGATTTTGTCACAATTACTTCTTTTTTAATGTTAAGTGTCTACCTTAGGTCAAGAAATACCGAGGAAGGAGGCTTGAGCTGAGTAAGATGTGAGAGGATAAAGCAAGTAGACTGGAAATGAAAAGAAAAGCACATGTGGAGCCTTCTAATTGCTGAGATTTTCCACATGGTCTTTTATTTGAAGCTCATGCAATCTTATTTATATGTGTGTATGTTTATTTTTAAATTTTTAAATAATTATTTTATTTATTTATTATTACTATTTTTTTGAGAGTTTTTTTTTCGCTATAGGGTGCGTGCACTCGCCAGACAGACAGAGAGAGACAGAGAGACAGAAAGCAAGAAATCACCCCCCAGGGGGGATGGTCACGCTGCAATCCCTTCTCCTCCATTCTCCTCTCGGGATCTTGGGCACGCACGCACATGCGCCCAGCGTGAGTTTTAAGCCACCGGGTCCGGGATGTGAACCACAGTCAACTACGTGGAAGTCCAGTGACATAGCCATTACGCTAACTGCTCGTTCCCTATTATTACTATTATTAAACTTACTATAGGATACATGTGCTCACCAGAGAGAGAGCAAGAGAGAGAGGAAGTGAGAAAGCAAGCCACCAGGTCTTGGACTTGAACCACGTTTGGCCATGTGTCAGTCCAGCCCCTCAACCATCATGCCACCTGCTACCCCTGCTCTTGTAAGTTTTGAAAGAAACGGATGATTTCAAGTTTGTAAAACAGCCTAGGTAGAGTGCTGTTTAGAATACAAAATCTTAGAGATACTGCTTTTTTAAAGACTCTTCAAGACAGGGCAAAAGTCTCTGTGAGAAGGAGTGGTAAGAGAGACGAAATTAGGAATGGTTTCTGTGCACACTTGATTTTCCCTAGAAATTGGTAGAGACAATTACTTCTAGAATGAGCAAATATTATACACTGAAATATTTAAGAGCAGAAGGTATAGGCTAACAGGTGAGACAATGTTCATTCTTTGAGGTGTGCCAAGGTTGTATCAAACATGATTTCTATTACAGTTTCTTCCTCATAGCAGTGCTCTGATTTCTAGCCAGAGGTATCTTGAGCCCTAGATCACACAGCCAGTTATGCATGCCCAAATGTGAAATTGTGGTTCCAGAGCTTATGATATGAATCCTTTTATAAAGAAGCTATTCAAGGGGACCGGCAGGTGGCTTGGTGGTTAAGAGTGCTGGACTCCCACATGACCGACTGTGGTTCAAGTCCTGGACCTGGTGGCTGGCTTTCTCTCTCTCTCTCTCTCTCCCTCTCTGGTCAAATTGAAATAAATGAATGAATAAATAAATAAAGTTAAATAAATTAAAAAAAAAAAAGAAGCTATTCAAGAGGCCAGCAGAAGGCATGATGGTTAAGGCACTGGACTCCTACATGGCTGACTGCAGTTCAAGTCTCGGACCTGGCAGCTTGAGAATCACACTGGGTCTGTGTGTGTGTGTGTGTGCCCAAAATCCCTAGAGGAGAATGGAGTAAAAGGGTTTCCTGTGTGATCACTCCCCCCCATCCCCCCAAGTGCCCTATGGCGAAAACTTTAAAAGAAGAAGAAGAAAAAAAAAAAAACCCTACTAAAGAGGCAAATGGGAGAAATGAGTTCAAAAAGAAAGAAGAAAGAAGAGTTAAATTTGTTTCTAGGTTGAATGGAATGTCCTATTACCCCTACAAAGGATATATTTTACTTAAGATTCTTAACTCCAAGAGACCAGCAGTTGATGTAATGGCTATGTCACTGGACTCCCACATAGTCGACCATGGTTCGAGTTCTGGACCCAGTGGCTTAAACTCACACCAGGGCCGTGTGCATGCATGCCCAGAACCTGAGAGGAGAATGGAGGAGAAGGGATTGTGGCGTGGCCGTCGGGGTGAGTTCTCGCATTTTGTCGCTCTGTCTGTCGCTGTCTGTCTGGTGAATGTACATGCCCTATAGCAAAAACCTCTCCAAAAAAAGAAAAAGAAAAAAGATTCTTAACTCCAGGACTCTTAGTTGCTATAGGGTTATGGATAAGAGACCCTTTATGTTATCAACATCTTGATACCATGTTTTCAGCCCTTGAATTACTCAAATGGCTCCTTCCCTTTTCTGTCTACAAAAACTATGACATAGTTTCAGTAACAGCTCATAGATGAAATATTTTTAATGTCATTTAAAAACTGCTTATTTCTGGGACCAGCAGGTGATATGGTGCTTAAGATACTGGACTCCCACCTGGCCCACCCCGATTCAAGTCCTGGAGTTGGCGACTTCTTCTCTTTCTCTTTCTGTCTCTCTCTGGTGAGCACATGCACTTTGTAGCAAATTTTTAAAATATCAATAATGATAAATAAAATTAAATAATTATTTAATACATTAAACAATGTTATTTCTTCCATGAGTGAGACAGAGAGAGCGAGCAAGAGAGAGAGAAAGAGCACCCTCAACAGGGTCTAAATGCTGGCATCCACCCCCAGCCTTCAGCCAGTCCTAGTCAATGGTAAACGCATGCCAGGTGTACTTAAAAAGGTCTACAGACTCGAACCAGGAGCCTCCCCATGTAGACTGACTTGCAGAGTGTTGTGCCTTACAGCTGCACCACTGTCCTGCCCCAATTTCCCTTTTTTTTTTTGGAGAGGTTTTCGCTAGAGGACGCCTGCGCTCGCCAGACAGACAGACAGAGACATAGAGACAGAAAGCGAGAAATCACCCCCCAGGGGGGATAGTCACACCGCAATCCCTTCTCCTCCATTCTCCTCTCGGGATCTTGCGCACGCACACACACGTGCCCAGCGTGAGTTCTAAGCCACTGGGTCCGGGACGCGAACCGCGGTCAACTATGTGGGAGTCCAGCAACATAGCCATTACGCTAACTGCTGCATGATGGTTAAGGCACTGGACTCCTACATGGCTGACTGCAGTTCAAGTCTCGGACCTGGCAGCTTGAGAATCACACTGGGTCTGTGTGTGTGTGTGTGTGCCCAAAATCCCTAGAGGAGAATGGAGTAAAAGGGTTTCCTGTGTGATCACTCCCCCCCATCCCCCCAAGTGCCCTATGGCGAAAACTTTAAAAGAAGAAGAAGAAAAAAAAAAAAACCCTAACAAAGAGGCAAATGGGAGAAATGAGTTCAAAAAGAAAGAAGAAAGAAGAGTTAAATTTGTTTCTAGGTTGAATGGAATGTCCTATTACCCCTACAAAGGATATATTTTACTTAAGATTCTTAACTCCAAGAAAAAAGCAGTTGATGTAATGGCTATGTCACTGGACTCCCACATAGTCGACCATGGTTCGAGTTCTGGACCCAGTGGCTTAAACTCACACCAGGGCCGTGTGCATGCATGCCCAGAACCTGAGAGGAGAATGGAGGAGAAGGGATTGTGGCGTGGCCGTCCCCCCGGGGGTGATTTCTCGCATTTTGTCTCTCTGTCTGTCTCTGTCTGTCTGGTGAATGTACATGCCCTATAGCAAAAACCTCTCCAAAAAAAGAAAAAGAAAAAAGATTCTTAACTCCAGGACTCTTAGTTGCTATAGGGTTATGGATAAGAGACCCTTTATGTTATCAACATCTTGATACCATGTTTTCAGCCCTTGAATTACTCAAATGGCTCCTTCCCTTTTCTGTCTACAAAAACTATGACATAGTTTCAGTAACAGCTCATAGATGAAATATTTTTAATGTCATTTAAAAACTGCTTATTTCTGGGACCAGCAGGTGATATGGTGCTTAAGATACTGGACTCCCACCTGGCCCACCCCGATTCAAGTCCTGGAGTTGGCGACTTCTTCTCTTTCTCTTTCTGTCTCTCTCTGGTGAGCACATGCACTTTGTAGCAAATTTTTAAAATATCAATAATGATAAATAAAATTAAATAATTATTTAATACATTAAACAATGTTATTTCTTCCATGAGTGAGACAGAGAGAGCGAGCAAGAGAGAGAGAAAGAGCACCCTCAACAGGGTCTAAATGCTGGCATCCACCCCCAGCCTTCAGCCAGTCCTAGTCAATGGTAAACGCATGCCAGGTGTACTTAAAAAGGTCTACAGACTCGAACCAGGAGCCTCCCCATGTAGACTGACTTGCAGAGTGTTG